TGCAGGTGGGTCGGGGGCCCGGCGGTTCCACAGGTCCCGCTCGCGGGTTCACTCGTCTCCCCCCGTCTCTCCTCGGCGTCCCGTGGGGTGTGAGGCGCTGTGGGGTTGTTTCACTGGGTAAAGGCAACCGGGTGCGGGGAGGTTTGGGGCTGTGAGCTTCCCCGGCCCTGGTGCGCTCGGCTCAGGGCGGCTCTGCCGGGGCCTCAGCCTGAGGGCTGGCCTGGCACCTTCTGCTGACACGCAGAGGGTGAGAAGGCATCGCCCTTCGTCCGTGTGGTGTGTCAGGAAAGTAAAGCGTTAGTATTTCTCGGTGGTCAGGAGGAGCTTTTGTTAGGAGGAACGTAGGAAGCGCTTGGAGTGCCCTTCATGCACTTGAGAGGTTTTAGTTGCTCATTCCTCACATCTTCCCATGTGGCACTACTAAAAAGTTTTGTTTGCATTCAGCCTTTATAATACAGTTATATTTGAGATTCATCTCCCTACAAGCAGACAGTAACCCTCACTTCTCTTCCCGCTCTGTCCTCTTTGGGTAGGATATTAAGGCTGTAACAAAAGGCCTACTCATCCTACTTTTTGAAAAGCACTGTGGTTGTTTGTTTCTTGTTACTGTACCTCATCTGCACGTGTGTTGGAAATACTTCTCCTTTCACGAAAAAGCATTTCTCTGAAGTGACTGTGTGTGATGTAGGGACCTGAAGAGGACCAGGAGTCTGAGTCGGAGCTAACGGTGACACAGCTGAAGGCACTGCGTAAGCAGCAGCAAGCCAAGCTGGAGAAGAGAATGTTGGGAGAGGACTCGGATGAGGAAGATGAAAAAGAGGAGAGAAGAAGCGAGAGGAGTCAGAACAGTGACCTGAGCTGCTCGTGGGGAATGGGTAAGTGATGGTGCTCAGCTGATAGACCTCGGAAGGTGTTTAAGCCAGTTGTGAGTGAACATGAGAGTTGAAATTCCAGCTGAAGGCCAAGTGTCCCAGTCCAGTGGAAGCTGTTGAGTGCTGATTAATCTTTCTCCTTTTAAAATGAAGAGTGCTGTGACAAAGCAAGCTTGTATCTGGTGAGAATATGCTGGAGCGAGCTCCTTCTAAAACCAGGGAGAATAAACTTCACCCACACCTGTAAAAGGCCACAAACCTGGGAGATTAGGTTAATGCTGTGTGTTTTCTTCCCGTGATGCAGTGACATTCATCTGCCAAACTGCACCTTGTAATGGAGTAACTAATGGCAAAAAAGAAGCAGGGTGGGTTTTTCAGTTGGGTGCAGAAATAATATTCAAGGTAAGGGAAAATTTAGGATGATGTAGCTGATCCTTCTTTCAGACTAATGAAAGGTGAAGTATAGTGGTGTTCTCTTTATTTTATTGCTTCACTGTATTTTTTTGCACTTTGTATCTTTTCTAGGAGAGGATGCTGAGGAGGATGAGGTTGAAGAAAATCCTATTGCTGTCGATTTTCAGGATATACAAGATGCTTTTTATATGAAAGATCCTAGGAAGGCCTTGCAGGGCTTTTTTGACAGAGAAGGTACTTTTTTTTTTCTTAATGAAATTTGTTTGATTCTATTTAGCAAAGTGTGATGTTTGTGCTTGTGTTTTCCTTTGGGAATTAAGGTGTGGAAGATAAACCTTTTCTGTTACGTTGTGGCTAAGGTTTTTTTGTTTTGTCAAGTTTGAGGGAGGTGTTTAGTTTTTGTTTTAATAAAACTTAGGTTACCCTTGTAGATCTGAGACTTGGTTGGTAACTTCTAAACTGGGAGCTGCAGAGAGCAACTTGTATTTTTCTGCAGTGATAATCAATCCATACTCATGTTTTGAAGCTGTGCTGAAAAATTCAAACCCATCACATTTCAGACTGTTCTGTTTGGATATTGCTGTGGTTGTGAGATAGAATGGGAAAGTATAAAAAGACAAAAGACAATAATTAATTGATTTAAACTTCTAATGGTTGCTAGTGAAAGGTAGATTACTTACTTATTTGCTAAAGTGAAAAGTTAATCTTCAAGGTAAATAAAATCTGTGAATCCAGATTGCAAACTGTCATGACTTCTGTGTCATTTACTTTAATGCACACAGATGCAAGATTGTTTTTTATTTGTTTCACGTGTTTTTGTCTGAAAAAGCCTTGATTGTGGAAAACAACCAAATGAGCATAGTACCAACTGAAGAACCCATAGCTTTTCCTTTTTCTTTTTTCCTTTTTCCTTTTTCCTTTTTCCTTTCTTTTCCCTTTTCCCTTTTTCTTTAAAGGGTAGTTCAGTCCTTTGATATATGACATGGGCATTTTATATCTTTTGTTTATGACTTTCCTCTGTGTTGTGAAGATTATTCCTGCTTATTTCAATTTTGATAACTGTCAACTTTATTTGACTTCCTCTCTAGGAGAAGAGTTAGTGTATGAATATGATGATCGTGGGCACAACAGCTGGCTGTGCAGGATCAAGTATGTATATCTCCAGTCATTTTTGTACAGAGAAGCTGGCTTCACTGAATTCACAAACAAAAGTTGAAAAAATTGTATTTCACACTTGTCAGGGAGGCAGGCCAGCTGGAATGAGACCAAAGCCCTGATACTGAGACAGAAGTTCAAGGATCAGTACCTAGATCAGTGTCTGCACTTCTATCTGGCCTGGCAGCATTTGGTGTTCCTTAGAGTTGAAAATCAGAAAAGCAAGAGTCTGGATTTTTTCAATTCCCTTTGTTTTGTGAAACACATGAAATTAAAATACAAAAAAAAACCCAAAAAATTTCGAGACAGTATCTTTTAATTCCTAAAGAGAGAGAAAAATAATTCTACAGTGTGCCCAGTTTCAGTTCTTCTATGGTATAAGGCAGATGGGTTCCTGCAAGAGGCCACTACATCATTATTTTTTTAGACAGGAGAAGGTGAGGTAGAAATTAAGTCAACAGGATAGATATCAACATTTCAGTGATTGCACTGCTTCAGAAATCTTTGCTTCAGTATGGTATAAAATAGTTGTTACTGGTGTTACATGGATGCAAGGTACTGGTGCTTGAAATTATTCAGATATTGACGTTTAACCTTTTAATGTCTTGTACTCTTAGTAGAGTGAATATAGGAAGAATTACTGTTCAGGCTAGTGAAATTAAAAAAAAAAAAAATCTTACATAGTTTAGGAAGTCCCTGTGTATGTTTTGATTAGTACTGGATAGAATGAAATGTGAAAATACTTCACCCACAGAAAAAGATGAGTGAAATGGAAAGAATAATGTCAACATGATAAATACAGTATCTGAGTAGCACCTGAGCAAAGCTTTTTGTATTGGAGCTGTCCTCTGATCCTTCAAACTGAACAGGTTGCCTGTGGATGATGCATCAGGGAAGCAGCTGGTGGCAGAGGTCCTCCATTCAGGAAAGAAGAAGGAAGCAATGGTACAGTGTGCAGTGGAAGCTTGCAGGCTACTCGATGCTCGGGGAGTCCTGAGGCAAGAAGCAGGTGAATAACCAGTGAAATGCTGTGGTGGTTCTAAAAGCCCTAAACTAGGGATTTGAGATTGTTATCTTGAATGTGTTTTATTGCTCAGTGGTACGCAAATAATTTTGTTTCTTTCCCTCTCCCTTACCTTTTCCAGTATCCCGAAAAAGGAAATCAAAGAACTGGGAAGATGAGGATTTTTATGACAGTGATGATGACACCTTCCTTGATCGAACTGGTGCTGTAGAAAAGAAACGTCTGAACAGAATGAAAAAAGCTGGTAAAATAGAAGAAAAACCAGAGACTTACGACTCCCTGGTAAGAAG